GTTAGCTATTGCTCATGACTTAGCCATGACTAGGACAGTGTTACCCTTCTGTGGTGGCTAATTTTGGTTTTGACTGAACACACCGGGAAGATGGAACCACACTTGAGGAACTGCTTCCACCGGAGTGGCCTGTGAACATGTCTGTGGGGGCATTTTCCTGATTTCTAATTGATGTGGGAGGGTCCATCCCATGGTACAAAACATGCCTGTGCCGTGGGTCTGGACTGTATCAGAAAGGTAGCCAAATTCGAGCCTGGGAGCAGCCCGTGGGGATCCGTCCTCGTGGGTGCTACCCCTGAGATGTTTGAGTTCCTGTTCTGACTTCCCTCAGTGACAGACTGACCAGGAAGTGTGAGAGGAAATAACCTCTTCCCTCCTCCAGTCGTGTTTGGTCGTGGTGTTTACCACAGCAGCAGAAAGCTAACTAGAAAATCTTCCTACATAATTCTATTTTGAGTTACTCCAACTGTGAAATGAAACACTTTCTCCACTGAAAGGAATTTCTCCCCCATTCTCTGTCTCTCTCTGACTCTCTCCGGGTCACCCTGTCCATGTGTGTGTGTCGGGGCACAATCAGTACGTGAGTGTGGAGGGCAGAGGGCAGCTTTTGGAAGTCAGTTCCCTTCCACCTTGTTTTTGAGGCCGTCTCTCTTGTTCCCACTATTTTGTGTATTCCCAGCTAGCTGCCCACTGGCTTCCAGGCAGTTTTCCTATCTCCATGCCCCTATTTTATTGTGCTTATTTACTTACTTATTTATGGCCCTGGTGACTGAACTAGGAACTTCCACATGCCAAACAAGCACTGAGCTTAATACCTTTCTTGATCCCTCCTCCCAAAAGTAGCCACTCTGGGGAACTTGGTGACTTTCCTTCCGATTCATTATATTTTTATTGCTTTTTATACTTTTATTGCTATAAATATTCTTTAAATGAGTGGTTTATATGTGTGTTTATGTATATGTGTAGTATTAAAATTTTGTTGCGTTTCTTTATTTGTGTGTTTGTGCTTGTGGGCTTGTGTGACAACTTACAGAAGTCTGGTCTGTCTCTCCACAATGTTCCCCCTGCCTTCCCGGGATCAAACTCAAGTTTCCAGGCTTGGTAGCAAGCAGTTTTACCCAGTGGACCATGTGACTGGTCTCTATACTTGTAATTTTGTATGGCTCAACAATGCATATATTGTTTGGTCGGGGTCCCCCCCATTCGATAAGCATCATGGTTTGAGTTGTCTCCACACTGGCCCATACAGCTTCAGTTAGCTTTCATTGTATCGGATCCAATTCTATAAGGAACCTGCATCTTATCTGCCTATGCCCCCACTGACATTCTAGTGGTCTGCCATTCTTCAGATGCCCAACAATGAATGAGTAATTCCAAAGTGCACCCCGCACCCATGGGACAGTTTCTCCAGGAAAAAACAACAAAAAACCCCCAACCTGTTCTTCAGTGTTCCGTGAATGGAAAGTTAAGGACTAAGGTATTTCCAGGGGCCAGGGGGTAAAGTCTAAGTCTTATGGAGACTGTCAGGTGGCCTACGTTAGGAGAGACCCTAGAGTTCAAACCCTTGGTTTGATCTTTAAAACAACTCAGTTCGGTTTTGTCTCTTGTGTCTTTGCGAATGGGAACACCCCAGTGGCTGCGGCCCATGTCCTTAGTGAACATTAGATGGAGGTTAGAATTACTATCATTTGGAACGGAAGAATATAAAGTGCCACCTTGTGGGATCTCTTTGATACGCCTGTTTTTGTTTGTTGTTTGCGGTAGCGGGTTCAATAGGCTGGCTGGACACAGCATCACATCAAGGAACGGCAGAGCAGAGTGAGAGCGGGAAGGGAAGCAGTACCTGTCCCACTTTGTTATCGTCCAGCGCCAGCATCTCCAGGTTCTTGAGCGTGCAGATCTGCAAGGGAAAGTGGTCTATGTGGTTCTGACTGAGATCCAGGAAGCGCAGGTTGACCAGGCGTTTGAAGGAGCGCCGCAGCGCGCGCAGGCCGGTGTTGCGCAGGTAGAGCAGCTGCAGCGACACCCAGCGGCACAGGAGGCGCGGCACCTTGTCCAGCCGGTTGTCGCTCAGCCCGACCTCGGTGAGCTCCGACAGCTGCTCCATGGTGGCCGGCAGGGAGCGGAGGAGGTTTTGGGTCAGATCCAGCACCGACAGCTTGCTGCACTGGCTCAGAGACTCGGGTAGAAGGGGCAGGTTGTTAAACGCCACGTAGAACTTCTGCAGCCTCCTCAGCTGCCCGATTTCCTCCGGGATGGCCTTCAGTTTGTTGTGGTCTAGATCGATCACTTCCAGGTTCAAGAGCACACAGAGGTCGGAAGGGAAAACCGAGAACTGATTCTTTTTCAAGTAGATCTCCCTGAGCTTGGTCTGGTTCACGATTTCCTTGGGCAGCGAGTCCAAGTGGTTCTCTGACAGTCCGAAGAGCTCCAGGTGGTGCAGGGACTTGCAGATCACGGTGGGAACCTCTCTCAGGCCGGTGCGGTAGAGCCGCAGCTCCCGGAGGGTGCGGAGGCAGCTGAGTACCGGCAGCGAGCAATAGAGCAGCGGGTTGCAGCTCAGGTCCAGCGACTCCAGGCTGCTGAGCTCCCCCAGCTGTGGGCACAGACTCTGCAGGTTGTTCTTGTGCAGGTAGAGGACCTTGACATTCTTTAAATGCTGAATGCCCTGGGGAATTTCTTCAATCTGGTTGTTCTCCAGATGCAGTTCTTCTAATTCCTTTAATGCCAAAATGTCTGGCGGGATGGTTTTCAAACTCTGATTGGAACCATCCATGAAAAACGTTCTATCAGTGACCCGCTGGGGGTCACTTCTCTGAAGAACCTTGGGTAAATGTTCTTGTTTTAGTACTTCCTTTGTCATGAGTTTAAAAAGCTCCATGGTCCCAAGTCTGAAATACTGTGAAGGGGAGGGAAAAAAAATCAGATTTTCCTGACAACCAGACTCAATAACGGGACGCGAGGGTGACGGCAACGACGGACAAATGACTGAAACTATTTTGCAACGTGAAATTTCTGTTTCTTTGTATTTCATGTTAGGGTAAGAGTTAAAGTGTGAACACCTCTTTCTAGGAAGTTTGTGTACGTGTGTTAACACACAGATTGCCGAATTTCGTCTTTTTACATGGCTTGTTTGGGGGCTGAAGAAATGGCTCAGCCTTCAAAAGCACTTACTGCTCTGGCAGAGGAACTCAGTTGGTGTCCCAGCACCCATCTAGAGGCTCACAACTGCCTGTAAGTCCGCTCCAGAGAGATCCTATACCCTCTTCTGTCCTCTGTGGGCACCCGTACTCATATGTACATACCTTCCCCCACCCCACCACACAGGCATAATTTTTTAAAAAATCTTTCAAAGCCGAGCATAGTGGTGCATGCCTTTTACCCCAACACTGGGGAGGCAGAGGCAGGTGTATCTTTGTGAGTTTGAGACCAACCTGGTCTATCCAGTGAGTTCCAGGATAGCCAGAGGTACACAGTGAGACCCAGTCTCAAAAACAACAGGAAAAAATTAACTTTTAAGATACTTATTTTGATTTAGTTTCAAATGAGTTGTGGAAGTTTGCCAGAGATCATTGCCCTTGCCGTCACGCCCAGGAAATATTGGGAAAATTTGTATCTTACGTATTTTCATAAAGTCACCAGAGTTGTTATCTGTAAAGCAGGCTAAGGGGTGAAAATCTAGTTCTCAGTCACTTTTTCTCCGAAGGGGAGGCCAGTGGGCAGGCCCCCTCCGGCCTGGTGAGGCTGGTAGACAGGGAAGCCAGCCTTCAACAAGCAAAACAAAAGCCAACCAAAACGACAACCCAGCATGGGGCAGGAGAACCTGCCAAAGAAAACCATTTGTGGTAGTACATGTGGGTCGAGAGGGGCAGCTCCGCCAGTCTGGAGTACTCTCTAGTGCAGGGGCAGTTCTCCACTAGGTAGAGCCAAGAGGGCTTTGAGGAAGGGGCAGGCCCCGCTAAGACGGATCTTGGTCTCAGTCTTTCTGTGTTGCTAGCTCCCTTGGTGGCGCAGGCACACCCACACCCACACACTCCACCCCCAACCTCCCCCCCGACATACACCCCCCCCCCCCCCCACACACACACACAGCATGCAGCGTGTTTTTTGAGCTCTGGCTTTCCTGGAACTCTCTTTGTAAACCAGGCTGCCCTCGAAGTCACAGAGCTCCAGGTCCCTCCCTGCCTCCCGATTGCTGGGACGCGCCACCACAAAGGCTGTTCTTTACCCTGTAACTGTTTTTACCTTTCAGCCTTCATCTACTCTTACCCTCCAGGGATCTGTTTGGCTCCAACCCTAACCCACCCCTTTCTCGCTGGCCTTCCTCACATATTCAATACTGCATCCTGACCGAGACACTCTGTAATACTCCTTGGCACCCCTGGTCTCCAGCGCGAGTTGAGGCTTTATTGCCTCTTTTTGGCTTCTGAGGCTCTCTCTGGCCCCGCTTCTGGGCTGTCCTCTAAATTCACCCTCTATCGGTGGGTCTGCAACCGGCACCTGAAGGTCCTTGTCATCCTGCCCCACCCCTTCACAGCCCTACTGTACGTCAGAGTCCACATGGATATGACCTTGCCTGCGTCCATACTCAAGGTACTGACTGTACCTGTGCCTCTGCAGCTTGGCCCTGGGGCAGGCTGTCTCAGACTAGTGTGGAAGTCACCTTCTCCAGGAAACCCTTCCAAAGGGCTCCACTCCTTCACAAAACCCTTTAAGCTATTACAGCCCCACGCCTTTACACCTGGAGGTTCTACCACCAGATTCCGAGCTTAGCCTTTCGCGTCCTTTTTGGGGAGAAAGGCTAGGTCACTAGGATTTGTAGTTGGTCCCTAGCACAGCAGGCTGGGCTCCCAACCCTTGAAGCTCCCCTCTCAGTGACTATAACCCAGAGTAGGTAAACTTAAGGTGAGCGATCACTGCCTACTGATTACGGGGTGCCCCGCCCTCTCAGCTGTGGCCCCGCCTCTTCCCCCTTCCTTCTGAAGGAAGCTCTGTGGTTGCCATGGGAGCGACTCGGGTTGCTGGCCTGGTAGTGGTCCCAGCCCGGTGAGGACCCAGCAGGAGCAGTCTGTAGAGAAAGCCTAGCCACAACCTTCCTCTTCAGCGATCGGACCTGCGGGGCGAGCTGGGTAAGGGGTACCTGGCCCTGCAGCTGCAGGCCAACCGAAGGACGGCGGATCCCATCTGCAGAAGCCCCAGGTAGGGGCAGAACTCTGGGACGCCCTTGAGCACCACCGGTTCGCCTGGCTTTGTGAGGAGAGGTGTGGCAGGATAGTGCCTGTGGCTTTGCTCCTGGGGTCTGGGGAAGGTGCGCTGGGGGCTCTTCTGCGTCCACGAGTTTGTGCCCCAGGAAACCATCCCAGACAAGCAGGAAGCTCCTGAGACTTCGGAGTTCCCACTTGTAGACCATCCACATTTTCTTTTCTTTTAACCTCTTCATCTATTTTGGTTTCATTTTTAAGTTAGTATATAGAAGGTGAAGGATTGCGACATTTTTATTCATACATATACTTCCACATGCACTTTGAGTATGTCTGCGTCCATGAATTTGACAAATTAAGCATAAAGTTAGAGGTGTACTCAGGCTGAACGCCTGACTGCTCTTGTCCTGCTCCCTGGAGGGGAAAATAATGCAGTTTGCTTTCCATGGGCACGGTCGCTGGGCCTCTGAAGAAAGTACAGTTTAGAGATTCAATTTCTGTCTGCTCCCTGGCGCTTGTAGGAGCAGACACCATCTCAAGAACTTAGTAGCCTGAGGCAGGAAAGTGGTGTCGGTTTAGAAACCACCAGAGTGTTTGTGTTTCCGGGATGCTAATACTGCACTTAGTAATGGTGTTCCATATACATCTCAGAGATGCTGCATTCTGACCCGGTTTCCCCTGGGCAATTCAGAGAATCTCCATGTCCTGAGAAGTGTCCTTCATAGGTCTCTGTTTACCTTCACTTAATTCGGCACTTTTCAAAAGCAGTTGACAAATTAAACTCATTTCTAAGATTCTTTGATCATCTTGGAAAATATTGTGCCACATTATTTAAATAGCCAAAAGTTTCCTAAAAGGGGTGATGGAATCTAGTATGCATGTACATCCATCCACATGAGGCATCTTCCTGATGTATTTTTTAGAGAGTAATGTTTGAAAGAACTACTCACCGTATAACATTAATTTGAAAGGTATAAAACTAGACCAAAGATTCCAATTCCGTCTAAACACACACACACACACACACACACACACACACCACAAATAAATAATAAGGTTCAAATACATCTTTAAAAAATATAAGAAGCCAGGTGGTGGTGGCACACACGCCTTTAATCCCAGCACTCGGGAGGCAGAGCCAGGCAGATCTCTGTGAGTTGGAGGCCAGCCTGGGCTACCAAGTGAGTTCCTGGAAGGCGCAAAGCTACACAGGGAAACCCTGTCTCGAAAAACCAAATATATATATGAAAAATTAATTTCCTTTTAATTTAATTATACCGGATCTTAAATCTTGTTCTGCAGCTGTGGGTGGCACACTCTGATAGTGCAGATGCCGCTCCACAGCAATGGACGTATCTGAGATGTGGAAATTATAGAAGGCAGCTTCTAAGAATGCAGCCTAGTTAAAGTGTGAGATCATTGCAACCCAAAGGGACACCTGGGAAGACTTTAGACTCAGCTTGAGTTTGAACTTCCTTAGATGCTTGAGTTTGCCCAGAGTAATTTCTCTGGACACTTCTCCCTCAGCTACCCAATTCATGGTAGAGGTTAGTCGCCCCCTTTCAGCTAGCGTGCTGACTGGAACCCCAGTCTGCCCACCTTCTCTGGTGCATTTATAACCTGGTTGACCCCCCTGCTCCCCCTCCCAACTTTTTTCTCTTTCTTCCTCACCCTCACTACACACACACACACACACACACACACACACACACACACACACACACTCCTTTGAAAGAAATTTAGTTGTTGAAACTTTGGGCATAATTTATATGTGATGAGAATGCATTTATGTTTCCAAAGCTCCAGCATCTATGGACGCCCTCCAGGAACAGTACAGTCAGCTTTGTTCAGAAAATGTACGGAAAACTAATCCTTATATACTGCACATACTCCAAAAAGTGGATGAAGAAATTAAAAAGGGGTAAGGAAGATAAATATTCAACTGTATCAAAAGTACCCACTGATCCTCATTTCTGTGAAATCCTAGATCATCCAGTGGTTTTATCCTGTTTGAAGATGGTTTGGTAAAGTAGACATAGCTTTCGAGTCAGGGAACTAGGTAGAGGTGGGACACTGGGGTCGTAGGTCCACTGTCTGACCCCGGGGAGAGTGCTGGTCCAGGAGCCCTCAAGCCAGGGCGCCTGTAGTTACCTCAGTCCCCATGAGCTGGGTGAATTCAGGCGCATCCTTTGTCCTGGTGGTTGTTGTTTCTTCTTCTTTTGTCAATTTGACACAAGTTAGATTTACCTGGAGAGAGACACAACAACTGAGAAAATGCGTCCACTAGATCACCTGTCTGAAGGCCACTGGGGACATTTTCTTGATTAACAATGAACGCAGATGGGTTCAGCTTTCTGTGGGCAGTGCCAACCCTGGGCATGTGGTCCTGACTGAGCAAGCCAGGAAGCAGAGTTCCTCTATGACTTCTGCTTCAGTTCCTGCCTCCCTAAGTTCTTGCCCTGACTTCCCTCAGTATTGGAGTATGACCCAAGAGTTGAACAATGAAATCAACCCTTTCCTCCCCAATTTGATTCTGTCATGGTGTTTATCACAGCAGAAACCTGAAGCATTCTCAAAGCGCTCAGTCTAAAGTGGGTTGGATGGTTAGCTTTGTCAACCTGACACTGAGAATCACTTGAGAACAATGAGGAATTTCCTACATTTGCTTATCTGATGCCCATGTCTATAAATGATTGTCTTAAGTTAATTATCATGAACTGATGCAGCCCACTGTGGGCAGCGTCATTCCTGACACAGGGGTGCTGAACTGGATAAGACTGGAGAAATCCAGCTGAATACATGAAGCAACTGAGAATGCATGCTACACAGAGAAACTCTGTCTAAAAAAATAAAACTAACTAACTAATAAATAAATAAATAGATAGATAGATAAATAAATAAATAAATAGAAAGAAAGAAAGGAAGGAAGGAAAGAAGGAAGGAAGGAAGGAAGGAAGGAAGAAAGAAAGAAAGAAAGAAAGAAAGAAAGAAAGAAAGAAAGAAAGAAAGAAAGAAAGAAAGGTGTGCACCAACAGAGACTGACTCTTAAATTACTTTTTTGTGGGGATGTTTTATTACAACAGAAATAAAAGTAAGACAGTGGGGTGCATGAGAGAAATCAAGTGATGGGGAAATTAGCTATGTTAAGCTGGTTTGCAAGATCACATTCGAAGGGTTTCAAACTTTGTGTCAACATTGTCCTCCTCCTCACTTTCTTTTTCTTTTTATTTTTGCCAGACCAGAAGGAGGAATCACATTAAACGTTGCTGGTAACAATCACTTAGTCCCAGTACAAAAAGTAACAGGTGAAGATTTTTGGCTTCTTACCAAAGTTTTAAAGAACCATTCACGTATCCATGGTACGTTTGCTTAAGAATAGACACTGCCTGCTTTTCACTTTCCTGTTTTTTAGCATTCTTTGTCAGGACTATCGGTTTCTGTTCACCTGTGTGTTTCAGGTCTGGATGTGAGGTATAACAGCATAAGTGATGTTGGTGCCTACTACGCTTCGAAACTGCTTCAGGTATTGCACTGATACCAGCTGTCCGTATCCATTGTTCTGCTGAGATGAAACCATGTAGGTGAATGGTATACAGGCAAACACCACATATGGAAAACACAAGGATCTCAAGTCTCAGCTCTAGGTGTAGCTCTTGAAATATATGGAAATCCACTTGGATTTGGTCTCAGGAGAGCTGGGTTGTCTTTTGCAAACCATGGTTAAATGCTCAAAGATGTCCACACATTCAGTTGTTGGTGAAACTGAACTCAGTCTTTTCCTTTAATGACACTGCGATTGCAGTGTTTGAAAGAGAAGAGTGACTTCCTTTTTCTCCTTAAATGGTTATTGCCTTGGTTGGAATTCTGTTAGATTTTATATGGAGATAATTTTAATTGAATAAATTGTGTGCATAGATTAATTCACTTCCTGTAATACAAATGCAATAGCTCTTTTCTCTCCTTATTATAGAAACAGCCAAATATCACTTACTTAAACCTTATGTTTAATGATATTGGACCTGAAGGTGGAGAATTGATTGCTAAAGCACTGCATGTAAGTATTTACATACCTCAAAGTAGTATTTCATTTGTGAATTTTAACTTCTTGTAGTTTGGAAACAACATAACCAAAGTTAATGTGAGCTTATGTCATTTCAATTTTGTGTGGAGGTGTGTGAGTGTGTGTGTGTGTGTGTGTGTGTGTGTGTGTGTGTGTGTGTGTGTAATGTATATGGATGTTTTGCCTGCATATATGTCTATGCACCACATGTATTCCTGGTACCTGCAGAAGCCAGAAGTGGGAGTCGGGTCCTCAGGAACTAGAGTTACATATGGTTGTAAGATGCCATATGGATGCTGGGACTTGAACCCGAGTCCTCTGGAAGAACAGTTCTTTTAACTGATGAGCCATCTCTCCAGTCCCAAAGATTTATTTTTTTATGTGTATGAGCCCCCATGTATGTGTACCACATGTGTACCTGGTGCCTGTAGAGGTCAGAAGAGGGCATTGAATCTCCTGGACCTGCAGTGACAGGTGACTGTTCGCTACCATGTGAGTGCTGGGAACCAAACTCAGGTCTTTTTCTAGACCAGTAATTGCTCTTAACCTTGGAGACATTTCTTCAGCCCCTTAAATATATAGTTTTAGTGTAGTTCAGTTTATGTAAGTGTGGCTCTTACTTGAGAACTTTGAACTCATTAAAAAAAATACTAAACAGCTTTGCTTGGTTATGGTGGTGCACACTTGGAACCTCAGAACTTGGAAGAAGAGGCAGGAGGGTGGCTGAGATCAAGGGTAGTACGGGCTACACAGGTCAGACCTTGTCTCTGAAGGAATGCCACCATTTCTCTTTCTTTGACACCTGCCTGCAGTACAGTCTGACCCAGTCACCTTCCATCCCCATTGCCATGCCCATCGTGGTAGGCTGTTTCCTGATCTGTGAACCAGACACCACCCTTGCCTTCTTCAAGTTGCTTCTTGGTAAGGATTTGGTCACGGCAAGGAGAGATATAAGCAATACAGAAGATCGCTACTGAGGCAGTATTACTGTAATAAACTTCTATAGTCTGTAGGCCTTTCGAACTAGTATGTGGAAAGAATGTAGAAGCATTTGGAACCCTGCGCAGGTGTAAGTGGGGTTTAATGAGCCGTTGTGTTGGGAGTTTGGAAGCCCAGGGTGCTGGTAGAAATATGGACACCGGGATGGCTTTGTCATGGAAGTCTGGTGACCTGAGTTGTTCTACGGAATCCATGGTAGAAGGAGCGAACCAACTCCCAAGAGTTGGCCTCTGCTGCCCACATGTTTGCGCGCGCGTGCACACACACACACACACACACACAATGATGATGATGGTAATAGAAAAATAAGGGGTTGGAAAGATGGCTCAGAAGTTAAGAACACTTGTTCTTGCAGAGGACCCGGACTAGGTTCCCAGCATCCACAACTGTCTATCACTCCAGTTCCAGGGGATCTGACACACTCTTCTGGTCTCTGTGGGCCTCAAGCACACAACTGCTGCACAGACATATACACAGGCAAAAGCATAAAATAAAAATAAATAAAATCTAAGAAAGAAAGAAAAAGAAATGAGGACGGGGAGCCAGGGCTTATGAAGGCAACAGACTCCACCAGGAACTGCCTTAGAGAGCACGTGTGGTGTAGTCTGACCAAGAATCTACTTGTCTTCTATGTCCTAAAATCTCGAGGGAGGCTGAAGTCAAGAGTAATGGCCCAAGTTGTTTGGTGGAGGCAATTTCAAGACAACATACTGTCCAGGCTGTGCGCGGTTACTGCTCAGTCAGGGCTCCTAGTCAGATTTACAGTGAAACACAACAGAAATCCTGGAGAGAGGTACAGTTTGGCTAAAGGGCTGGAGACAGCAGGTGCTGACAGAGCATCTGTGACTGGTAAGGCGAGTGCCATCATAAAGAGAAACCTCACACTTTGCACCATGCAGTAGAAATATTACCTTGAATGCAAGACCGTTGGGTGGAAATCTCCAAGGTGTAACAAGGCAAGTTCATCTGAAAGTACATGTCCTGAAAGAAATATAATCTTCAGTGTACCCTGTTGGAAAATGGGCACCTAAGTTTTCTCTTCAGGTTCAACTATGACGGCATGCAGGGGCTGCTCTAGTCTAAGGAGGCCAGGTTATATCATGAGCTGGCAGCCGAACTCAGGGGGCATCTTCCCTGTAGTGGAGGTTTTGCAGGCATGCAAGATACAAGCATGGGAGGTTTGAAAAGACTTGCACCAAGGCTCCAGAATAACACTGAGGCCATACAAGGTGCAGCAGGGTCAGATCCCTACGTGGAGCTTCTGGTCTGTGCATGAAGACATGAGGGGTGGGGTCTAAGTGGTAACAGTAAGGCGGGGTATTGGAGACACCAGAAATATGGGATGTTTACTAAGGAAACCTGTAGGCAGCAAGAGGAGCCAGCCCTTGAAAGAGGCCGTAATTGCCACAGGGGGCAGAGCTGGAAGGGCAGAGTGACCCAACTCCAGTGGAGACCAGATGCTGGACATGCGGCTTCAGGTTCGATCTCGCTGTAGTCTGACCCTTCCATGTCCTCTCGTATATCTCTGTTGGGATGGGAGAGTACTTGGTGCTGTTGTATACTGGAAGTGTGTAACTTATTTCAACATTTTACAGGGGTTCACAGTTAAGAGTACCTTGAGTCTCAGAGCAGACTTTTGAACTTAGACTATGGAATAAAGTTGGAGCTGCTAAGACTTAGTGGGGATCTTGGAATTGAGCTTGGTGCATGATGCTTACAAGATGGCCATGTGCCTCTGAGGACCAGTGGTGGGTGTAGTTTATAAGTGATTATGTTTGGGTATCAAGTTGATAAAGAGTAGATTTATGTTTAAATTTATGTTCATTGTCGACCTGACTGGACTTAGGATCACACAGTAGACACTGTCAAAACAGACATTTGCAGAGGTTTAACTGAGGAAAGCAAATTGGTCATCAATGTGGGTTATGGGATTTAGAGTGAATAAAACATGGGAAAGGAGAAAGCCTGATGAGCCCCAGTACTCATCTCTCTTTGCTTCCTGACTGTGGTTGCAATGTGACCAGCCACATCACTCTCTTTCTATGATAAACTCTACCTTCAAACTGAACGGCAAGCCCACACAAGTCTTTTCTTCCTTAAAAACATTAACAAAATTGGTTGCAATGTAATTTGCATATACAAAACATATTTTCTCAATGTTTTCAGTTCAAGGGAAAATTTTAAAGTGTGTTTAGAGAGGCTGGGAATGGTGGCACATGCCTTTAATCCCAGATCTTGGGAGGCAGAGGCAGGGCGATTTCTGTAACTTTGAGGCTGGTATGTTTTACATACATAGCTCCAGGCCAGACAGGGTTACATAGTGAGACCCTGTGTATAAATAAATTTCTTTACAGAGTTGCATAATCACCACTACCACCACCACCACCACCACCACCACCACCACCATTTTACAATTTTTTTATGTGTGTGTATACATATGTGTTCACTTGGGGAGGGGTTTGCATGCATATGTGGGTGCATGTGCCTGCATGCTTGCATGTGGAAGCCAGAGCAGGAAGTCCAGTGTCTTCCTTTATCACCTCGACATTATTGCCATAAGACAGTCTCTTGTAAGTGGGAAGCCTGCCATTTAGATTAGGCTGGCTAGGCAGTGAATGTTCAGGTGTCTCTGCACCCCAGTGCTGGACTTACAGGCATTGCGGCCATGCTTGGCTTTTTATCTGGGTACTGGGGATTTGAACTCACATGCTCATGTTTGCAGAACAGTGCTTCTCTCTACCAAGCTGTCTCCCAGCCCCTGTTTTTAGGATATTCTTATAACCTCCAAAGAAAACCCTTCCGCCTGTTAGTGAAGCCTTGCTTCTACTCCTCAGCCACTAACCATTTATACTTATTCTGGTTACTTCATATAAATAGAATCATATAATAGATGGCTTAATATTGTCAAGGTTCATCAATGTTGTAGCACAGTTTGAACTTTTTTATTTGTGTGTGTGTTTTGTCTGCATGCATGTCTGTGTACCATATGCTTGCCTGGTACACTAGGAGGCCACAAGAGGGTGTCAGGGTCCCTGGAATTGGAGTTATGGATTGTTGTGAACTGCTATTTGGGTAATCAAACTTAGATCCTCTGGAAGAGCAGCCAGTGTCTTAACTGCGGAATCATCTCTTCAGTCCCATATCAAATTTTTTATTGTCCAGTAACATTCCATTCTGTGGGTATATCACATTGTGTTCATCCGTTGATGGACATTTGGGTTTTTACTTTTGGCTGTTATGAATAATGCTATTTTGCACCTTCATGTTCATACGCAAATATTTTTGATTGGTGGAGGGTATATGTAGTAGTACTTTCTTGTTGAGACTGCCAGCCAGCAAATAATGACACTGAGACTTATTATTAGTTATGAAAGCTTGACCTTAGCTTAGGCTTTTTCTCAACTAGCTTAAACTAACCCATATTTTTTAATCTATATTCTGCCACATGACTCGGTTACCTCTTCCAACTTGCTCCTAGTCTGCTGGCAAAATCCCACCTTTCTTCTTCCCAGAGTTCTCTCTCTGCCTGGAAGTCCCACCTATGCTCTCCTGCCTAGCTATTGGCTGTTCAACTTTTTATTACACCAATCACAGCAACACACCTTCACATAATGTGCAAATAACTTGTAGCAGGTATATACCTAGGAGTGAAATTGCTGGGCCATGTTATAGCTTTGTAAAACATTTTGAGGAACTGCCAAATTGTTTTCCAAAGTAGCTGCAGCTTTTAACATTCTGTCGACAACGTGAGTGTTCTAGGTCCTGCCATCCTCAGCACAATTGTTCTTGTCATCTCAGTAAGTGTGTGTGAGGAGGCCCCAATGAATAATGGACTTCACATTTTCCCATGGTTTTTGTGTGTTCTTCCTTTGGAGGAACATTTGTTCAAATCATTTGCCCTTTTTTAAAGTCTAGATTTTGTCTGTTTTGAGATGATATCTCACCATTTTGCTCAGGTTAATCTTGAACCTCTGCTCAAGGGCTTCTTTGGCTTC